CTTGTCATAGCAGATAAGTGTGAAAATTGGGATGTGAGTTTGGGATAGGAATTGGGATGGATGCACCTGCTCCAACCTGAGCCATTTACATGCAAGGCAGGTCCCTCTATCTGCATTTGTGCAGGTAATTCTGTTGAGAATAGGTCAGTACAGGAGATCTCTTTTGCTTCCAAGTCAACCGGTCTGAATTTGATCTTTTACAGCACGTAAAACTTTTTTCTTGTTTTTTTCTTTTTTAGCTCAGGTATTCTAGAACCATTTCCAATATGTGTAGCCCTTGCCTGAGTCCACTCTTGGAATGTGGACCTCTGTGATTGAGCAATCCTGGATTCYTTATCCCATTTCCTCCAGCTTTCCCAGCCTCCTGCCAGGGTGTTTCTCTCACAGCTGTATGGATTTTAGCTTTTCAAAGTATATTTGATTCATTTGCTCAACACAGGAACTTATCTTCAGCATAAATATTTTTGGAACCACCAAGGTATAATTTTATAGTTAGATAATCACATATTTCTGGGAAAACTTAAAGGCAGTGGGTAATGCAGACAGATTAGGATCTGGCACTTTATCAGACTCTCAAGGAATCTCTCCCTGAGTAAACTCTGTTTCACTGGGGATATTTATTGTTCAGGAACCAACACTTAAAATTATCTTTGTCATAGAAGTAGGTGGTCTATTACCTCAAAGGAGACTCCCACCAGCCTGATCACTCTCTACARTGATGTATCCTTCTTCCATGAAGCAGGTATGACCAAATTCTTCTGASAGGGAATTACCCTTTGAGACTAGGACACAGATACTTTAGGTGCAGGGAGTAGAAGGCTAATAGACTTGAATAAAAATTTGGAATGGATGAAATACTTATCCTGGTGCATTTGGAAGATAAACAGTTCCCATTTTGTTTGTATGTCCTAGAGATGACTTCTTTTCAGWTAATTACTTTCCATAATTTTAGATTCCAGAGAAGCATGATTCACAGAAGTGCAGGGATGCCTTTTACCAAGTTGACCTTGAAGAACAGATCTGTTTCATTCTGTGCTTAATCTCTGCTTTCCTGCCTCCTCTTATCACTTTGGAGCAGCCAGAACCATCAGTGATGTTCCCTGTGGAGGCTCCGTGCTCCTGCCAGCTCGACTGCCCTGCAGATGGTGGCCAGGAGCAAAGTTCTTTGCAGGGTCTGGGCACAAACTTGTTCTAAATGTTACTCAAAAAACCCTAATCTGATTCTTGGTACCAGATAGCCATTCATTTATTAAGAACAAACAGAGCAGACAACTAAAGCTGCACTTTTTCTGTTATTCAAACCTGCTGCTAACAATGAAGAAGATGATGTCATTCCCTGGATGTGACAAAGGACTAATATTATATGCAGTAAAAACAATGAGTCAACAGTTTCTATGCCCTTGAGGTCAAACCATTCAGCAGTTTTGAAAGTAGACTGTTCTTTTTTGTGCACAGAGCTTGTTGTATATTAATACAAAATCTGKAAAATCAAGATATCATTTGAAAAAAATAGTAGTTTCAGGAAGAATTTTTCAAACTAAAAGCCAAATTGAAGTATCTTATAAACTAACAGATAATTTGCTCCCATATGTTAATTATAATATTGCAGAACTCTTTTCTTTTTTAGGTCAAAGACACATTAACCATGTTATCATTTGTATGATCCTGAGAGGCACTTTGCAGCTCTCAGTAACAGGAGTATGAACTGTGAGTATTAAAGCAAAACTAAATAAAATGAAATTTTCTGGAGATATTTTGTAATCTGAAAGATACGAAAGACCTTTAGCACGAAAATGTGTTTTGACAAACAACTGAAAGGAAGGAGTCTAACAACCAAAATTTCCCAGATTTTCCGGAATACGTGAGGAATTGATCAAATCCCAGCCACCTTTAACCACAGCTGCATCTCGCTCAGGCTGGTGCAAGAAGTGTTGTGTTCATACAGATCCTCCCTTCAGCAACTCTAAAATCTTTGTGGAGGATTATTATCCTGCTCATACAGACTGTGAAACTGCAGCACAGAGAAGTGACAGCTCAAGGTCGTGTAAAAGTCAGGAGAATTTGGAAGAGAACCCAGATTTCTCAATCCCTGCCCAGCACTCTGCCCACTGGGCTCCATTGCSTTGCTGAGGATCTGCCTGATAAAGCTCCTTTTCCAAACTGGACAGAATTTAACAACTTTGAGGAGTTTCAGTTCATAATATTGTTGTCTATCATAATTTTATTTGGTGGGAAAATAGATTTGCCTCCTTACATCAGGTTCAAATGCAAGGGAATCCTAGGCCAGCTGCAGTCTCCTTTCCTGTCACCCTTGCAGAACAAATTTAGAGACAGGAGAGCAAACTGGATTATATCTAGATGGGCTTCTATGTAGGAAGAAATATCCTTTTGCCTGCATTGGCCCTATCTGACCATGTTTTAGATTAAAATGAGTCTTAGAGTGGAATAAATAATATTCATCATCCTGACAATTAACTGAAATGAAACCTTAGACCCTGAATCCCAAGGAATTTATTCTGGCATGCTGTCAAARGGCTGGATAAAGTCTTCTAAGCTTATGCTGACCACTTTAGTGTGTCACCTAAAATAAATGCAAATGGGTTCAGGCATGGCTCGTACAGTAGATCCCAGGCCCAAGTGATTACTTACCCAAAATGTGGAGGAGCACATCTGGCAGCCCASCTGGTCAGTGTCCTGACAGATTTATTGGAGAAATAAATGCAGGAGGCACGGCTCAGTCTGATCTTTAAAYTCTCAGCCTTTTGATGATTAGGAAACTCTTACCTTTTAGAGTATTTAATAGAATATTTAAACCAAATATTTAAGACCTAAAGACATCTCAGCTGTTTTGGGGGTTCTGTTGCACTGCTCAAGTGAGACCAGAAAGTTTGTTAGGGCACTTCCATTGAAACACAGACATTTCTACTGACAATTGCTCTTATAACTCAAACAAAAATCAGACACATTTCAGGCAGGGCAAAATAAAGAGACTAAAGCAATTTACAGAATTTCCTCTGGATGTCTCAAGCTCATTGCAAATCCTATGGCCTGGTATTTTCATTTCCACCCTCACAATTAAGGGCACGATGATTTCAATGTCATTTAAGAGGGATTAAATACATTTTCCATGTGAAATTGGAGTCTCCTTTTCAAGTTGTGTGATACATTTGCAGGCAGCAGGTTTTACTGCCTAATGAAAGCCGAAACCTGAATGTATTGCAGGAAGATTCACACACGCTGCAGCCATGTAGGTGTGCTGTTCAACTCCAGTGACACACWAAAATATAAATACATTTAATTAAAGTTGTTACTGTCTATTTAATAAGCAGATTTATTAACTAGAAATAAAAATAGAGGCTCATATCCTCCTATGTTTCAAGAAGGGATCTTCACCTGATCTTTGTTTTTACAGCTTTTTGATCCCAGCAACCAACTGTGAAAACTTGACTAAGTACTCTCATTGAAGCTACTCCTTTGTTAAACAGGGTATTATAAGCTAAAACGAGAGACAGAGATTCCTATTCAGAAAAACAGTGAAGACCTTAATTAAAATAAAACATCTTTTAGCAATATTTTGTAAATCAAAGCTTTCTTAAAGGGCAACACTTCCAAAAGAAGATTATRATGAGTCTACTCCAATGCAAAGGCATATTAATATTAGGAGACATCAGCAACACTATAATTTCAAAAATTTSTTAGTATGATATCTGGAAAAACTATATTTCTGTTTAATGTTAGTTTGACTGTCAGCACAAACATTTATAAATTTATAAAGAAAAATATATTCTTAATGTTAAATAATACAAACAGAAGACAAAAGTTTTTCATGAAACTGAAACAAATCATTAGGCTTTGGGCTACTTTATATATGAGTTTATCACTTCACTATTAGATCTGTCAGTGGGTCAGTCCTCTATTAGATAATGCAGTGTCTATTTAGAACCTCACTCACAACCACAATTTCAACAAATCAATGTATACGTTATGACATCAGGATCGAATTGTATTATCGATCTGCTACACTATTACAAATATGAATATAGATTCAGTATGGTCCAGGGGTCSACATTTTTTATGTACTAATTTGTTTCTCAGTTCCACTGTTACTTTACTCATTTRTTGAGGCAGGCAAGAATGTTTCATCATAATGAAAAAAACCATCATTGAGCTGGAGGGCCTTTTGAGAGAACAAAATCTCTCTTATTTTCTCTTCCCTGGTAATTTTCTATTATTGAAGGAACACGTGGTAAACTTAATACCAATTTTAATCTATTTTCCCTGGCAAAACACAGTAAGAAATAGGCACAGCGTGCACAATACGCTACCTGTGTTTTGTCAATGTGTTGTCCTGGGAGAATAGGTTGGCCTAGAAAATCTGAAATGGCTGTGGCATCCCTCTTGTGGACAGATCCATCTTCCCTTCCAAGAAGGAACTTGGGAGAGCCCTGGCTTGATCAGCAATTTCCTTGGGTGCACAGAAAGCTCTGAAGCCTACACTGTTAAGAGAGATGGAGAGAGGCCTCGACACTCACAGTCTCCAGAGCTGAACYCACATCCCACATCCTGGGAGCAGCAGCAGGAACAGATTCCTCTTTTCATATCAAGATTGGAGGCAACTGCTCCTAAACAAGGCTGGGTTGGGGATGTTGGATGGAGAACCTGTTCCTGAATCCTAATGTTAGACAAGCAAGCATAGAGGCACTTCAGCTAAGTGGGTATGGTGGGTGGGCTTTCTGATTGAGCTGAAGAAATAGGGCAGGATTTTAGTTGGGATAATTTATTTTCTTGYAGAATACATAATTTGCCCTATCAGTTAGATGGAATTACTACCCACTCACAGCAACCTTCACAGCTAGAATGGTATTACTCATTCTCCTTAACAGAAACCTAGCCCTGTGGTTTCGGTGGCACACTGAAAACTTATTTTGATCTTTCTTGTGTTTTCGGATGGCAATGCATTGTCTCCTTCGTGATCTTGGATTAGAGTCCACACTAAAAAAAAAAAAAAAATTAGAGAGTGGATGTATTTGTAAATGCTGGTTGTGGCCTTCTTAAAATGAATCAGCTTTTCCCCTAAAAGTCTTGCTAAGTACTAATTAGGAAATTATTTTCCCTTGCAAACGCTGCGTTACGTACCAAAATRAAACACTGCTTTTTAAACAGGAGTGGATGTTATCACTTCAAATGTGCTTATATGTACTTCCTGTGCTTAGATATAGCCCAGCAATAACAATACCACAATTACCAGAATGTATAATCTATARTGTGGCCCTGTGTAAATCAAGCCCCAGCTGAGCATGTCGCACACATCCTGCAGGATACCACTGCCATTCTCAATTGTTTCCGGTGAGCGCCGTGCATCTGCAGGAGGATTTCTGAGCTGTGTTCTCACTGACTCCGAACTCACAGTGCTGTAAGTTGCCTCCTCCCAGTGAGATTTAGCAGGTTTTGYTCATGATTGCCTAAATGGGAAACCAGAAAATCAGGCTAAGAAGAAAAATGGTTTTGTGATTTTTAAAAATACTTATGGTATTTCCAATAAGAACACGGAATCATTGCAAATATTGCAAGGAAAAATGTTCAGGCTTTCAATTCAGTTGTTAAATTACTAAAATATGCATACCTGTCATTCCCTCCCTTTGGAATAGAGCATCATTTTTTCTCTGTGCAAAATATCTGAAAAATAAACACTTTTGAAACTAATTTTGCGAAGTCAAAGAAAAAGCAAAATYCAAACTAAACCAGAAATAGGCCATTTTAATTGCAAGACACATTTCAGCCTTACACTCAGAACAATCTTCCAGGAATCCTCTGACAATGTCACTGTCATGATTCAGTTAGTACAAGCTAACTGGACAGTGACTCAGAAATTAGATCTAGCTGACCTGTTTATGACTTTGTATTTCTAGTTCTCAGATTCTGATTTTTCCAAACAGATGTTGAAATCAATAAAAAGTTTTAAAATACTGTAAATATTTAAAATATAGTTTATAGTGATGATCCTTGGGGGAGAAAGAAAAAAGAGGTGGCAGTTGTGTTATTTGATAACTTTTAGAGTTGGACTCAAATAAGCCTCCAACTTTCATTCTGCTCTATACTGGGGGACAATCCGTCTTTTGTGAGTATTTATAATTTCCACTGAGTGTCTTACAAACCAGAAGAATTTTAGTATGTTTTAAAATAGYAATATAGCAATTTAGAGGAAACRTATTATGCAAACCCTGTTATTTTTYTCTTTCTGATACAGGCYYAYCATACCAAAGAGAAATTCTAGCTGCAGACAAGTCAGTGCAGCACTTGKCTGAATGGTATTTTAAATTATTCCTTTTTTTTTTATGTTTTTGGTACAAAATAATGTGATGAATAAATGATTCAAACCTTATTTCTCCACTGCAGAAGCTCACARGGAGTATTTCTTGTGCTAGCATGCATACCTGGATTGCAGAGGTCACTGAGGGGAGCAGGACAGGGGTACAAGAAGCTCCACACAGCCAAGGTGTACAAATCTGCCATAAAATAGTGCAGTCATTCAGTTCCACACGAACAACTTTGTCCTGGAAGTTTTATTGTCTTTTTTGTACTTGATGGCACATTTGACATCTTACATTCCCTGTTACTGCCTTTTATTTTCGCTAGTCTGATCTTTTCTAGAAAGATGTTCTGCTCACACAAATGGTTTAAAAAAAAAAAAGCTTGCAAACCTGTGATATTGTGCTTATGAAATAATTGTAAACTCTAATGATACAGATATTTTAGTCAGTTACAAAAAGCAGCTAGAATGATCAAATTACTTTTGCTTTATTTGTTGCAAACTTCTTAACTGCGGCACCACCTTGTGGACGTTACTACTTGGAGTGAGAACCGGGCTGGTGGCAACAAAAACAACTAAAACAGGCATTTTGGAAAAACAACTGTGGTCACAMATGGTTTGCTAAAACAGAGTAAAATAACTACATTTAAAAAATGATCCCTCAAAATCCACCTGTGAAATAAAATGTGTAATAAATATCGTCATTGAGTGCTCAGTTTTCTTTGAAGCTTTTACCGATTCTTCTGCCTGTCAGCCAGGATGAGGGGCAGCATTCAAAACTACTTTTGTTCCTTCTCAATTGAATAAGAAACAGCATCCAAACCCCGGTTCTGTTCTTGCTATACAAGCAGACATGACTTTTACACCTATCCCAAGCAACAAGACTTGCAAAGTCAGAATCAWAACACCGAACACATGGAGAAAACCTTGGGTCCTACTCCAAAAATGTAAACTCAACAGTGAGATTGGTGGCCAAGCTAAGCCAAAAGAAAAACAATCTCTGACAAAGATAATCCGGTGCATCTTTTAAATGCTCGCTGAAACACAAACCAAACAAAAACACATTTAAATTCCACTCTCTTGGCCATTTGATTCCCAGAACCTTTTGCAGTTGAGGTAAAAGGGTGTTCCTTTTATGAGCACTCCATCTACTGGAAGGGCAAAGCAGGAGAGCACAGGAGAGCCAGAATTTATAACAGAAGATCCCCAAGTTGAGTGCAGCACATTTTCATTCTGGGTGTGCCTGTCTGAGTAAGCTTGGGGAGCATGAAATAAAACATTGAATTGTATTTTCTATTTCTCTCTGTTCCGTAAGTAATTACATACATGTTATCGGCATAAAGTGCAGGAGAAGATGAATACTTGGACCAATCTCAGACTTGCTAAAATGAATACTGAGCAGCCAGGAAAGCCAACTCATCTCCGGTGAAGTTCATCCTTTACTCTAGAAAAGACACTACTCTTGGTGGAACTGGTGTCCTTTCTCTGCAAACAACAGCATTGTACCTGTTTTATGCAAGAACAGAGAGCAAAATGTAATCTTTTTTTCTTTATTATACAATACAGTATGACAATGACACTACAATTTTTACAACACAGATATTTCCAAAATTGTTTCTTAGAAACAAAATTTTATTTTGTCTATTCTTCATCTCAAAAAGATGAGACAGTTTATGCTGGTATGTTTTTTTTCCCCTTTGGTATATGTCGACAGTAAATATTACAGTTATTTTACTTTTTGTGCTTGGTAATTCCCTGGTATAAGTGCAATGGTTTGAAAAAAAAAATAGGGCTTTCAAATTCTTAGTGATTATTCTTAGAGATTGATTATTGCTTTCAATTTAACTTAATTATTTGTTTTGGAAAAGAAAAAAGGCATTGGCTACGCCTTACTCACACTGAATGCAGAGATTCTCTTTCTCCTTAGGCACCATTAATGTAATTTTGTTCCCCACTATGTAATTAGTTGCATRGTGCAGCCTCATTAATGGCCCTGGATGTATCTGCATGGAAGTTTTCATCCACAAAATTGCAGCAGCAGTTACTGTAAACATGGGGTGAGTGACACAGAAAAGACTGAACCAAGTTTATTCTTATACTGAACTCAGTTTATAAAAATATCTTATTTCTTATTTTTTTGGGCACGTGAAAATGTTATACTTGTGTCCATCACATACTTTCTGTGGCTGATCCTTTCAGAAAAGAAGCTAATAAGCTGTGAGGCAAAAATAACCTTAAATCTCCAAAATGGTATTTTCTCTGCAGACTTCAAACTCCCTTGGATATTTTAATTATCTCTTTCCTAAAAGCCAACACAGTAGCATAGCACTAGATTAAAAAAATTCTTTGCTTTTCTGCAAGAACTGATTTCTTGCTGAATTAGCATATCAACTGCAAAACCAATTTCCACAGCATCAGTGACCTTATGTCACTCTGTGTATTACAGCAGTGAGAGGAATAGTTTCAGAGCTGTAACAGTTTAAAATTATTCAGTATAAATCCACTTATTGAACCGGTACATGCAGGGGACAAAGCCCTGAAATTATGCAGCAAACCTGTGTGGCTTAAAGTCAGATTTCTGCATTTTTAAATGCTGTACTAACTGACACAAGGCTGTGGTGGGTATTATCAGAAAATAGGATGGAACAGGCAGAAATCTGCTCAGGCTGGGGAAAATCCTGGGAGGGAGAGAATGAACGAGAAAGCAGCAGCACCCCCAGGATAAAACCATGGGGACACAGCCCCTGTGTGGGGACAAAGGGGGCCCTATTACAGGGAGAAGTGGAGAAAGGGACCAAACCCTTKACATGAAAGTTTCAGGGGCTCCTTCAACAAGAAGAGAATTTTGAGGTGACATTCAGCAGGTCTGCAAAATAGGATGGATAAACCCAGACTCCCTGAGCCCAAAAGCAGAGCCAGCTTGGTTTACATAAAAACTGAGTGCACAACTCTCTAGCTATCAAAAGACAAGGTAATATTATTATGTTATTTAATACTTTTTACAGGGAATGAAGGTTGCATAAGCCTCTATGCTTATTAGACATTAGATTTAATTTCCTGCATTACTGAGAAATGGGTGACTTGGAGCTCAGCCAGGCTTGGACAGAYATAATAGGTTACACATTTATAAAAGGAAATCAGTACAAGTAGGAACTGCTGCTGGAGGTGTCAGTTTAAAGTAATACTCTCCCCACAAAAACCCCATCCCACACAGGATAGAGGAGACTGAATCAGAGGAGAAGTGCTGCAAAAGCATTAAGTCAGGGGAAAGTGGTGCAGAAACAGCAACTAATGACTAAGTGCATTTGACCTTCTTGTGTTATTTTAGTCTGAAGTCTTGATTTTGTGGTTTCACAGTGGGCTCATTCCCAGCAAAACTTTATGTCCTCTAATAATTATCACAGGTATTATTCATACATTTATGCCTTGGTCTGTCAGACCCACACACTCCATATATTGATAATAAAGAAACAGGTTATTTACTTACTGTTTCACTTGCAGAAGTGCAAAACCAAAATGAAATAAAGTTCTTTATAATCTACTTATTTCCTAATTACTTATGCAATGAAATAAAGTTCTTTATAATCTATTTATTTCCTAATTACTTGTGCAATGTTGCTCAATTTCTTGTTTTCTACTGGGCTTTCTTTTTCCTTAGAGACAATATAAAAGACAAAGAATTTTCAAAAGGAGGAGGATCTGGGAATTCTCAATACTTCAAGTTAGCTCCTTGGCATTTTCATGATGAAAAACCACAGGTGAATCTTCATACTACTAGTAAGCTGATTTTAAAATAACACATTATCTTTGCCTTTTAACATAAATCTCTTGACATAAATCTTTTTAAACTATGAAAGGTCTTTTCAAATTTCATCTTTCTTCTTATTCTGAAGGCACTGTAAGAATAGTTACAAACTAAGTGCTATAAAATATCAAATGAAATTATACATTTTGATTTTACCTTGCTCAAACTATGATATTCTCAACTCCTTGAGACATAGTGTGTGAATATTACTGAAGCAAAATGTCAAAATACACTGTAAGTTGATAATATCGATATTAGTAAGGAAAGAAAGTGTRGAGCAAACCAACAAATAAATTCTGCACCATAAAGCATCAAGCATTAATTTCTAGAGTAAAGTACAGGGTAAGATTTTACAGAGCAAGATTAATCCAAAGTAAGTGTGTTAGAGAGAGGCTGTTACCATCTGCAGTCCAGCTGAAGTGAGAAAACATTATGGATATTCAGTGTCATTAAGACCTAAGCAATTTGGCATTTTCAAGTGAAATATCACTCTGATGAGACATTCAAAATATTTAGCAGCTCCCATTATGCCTTTTCTGGGCCTCAGCCATCTGGATGAATTTCTAGGGTCGCAGCCTTTGCTCTCCTTAGGATTCCTCCACAGTCAAATTCCAGCTAAAACGCTGACAAGAGCAAAGTGCCTCAAATATTCCCAGTTTGGAAGCATCTCTGGAGATGCCTCAGCCCAAGCCCAGCCCAAAGCTGGATCACCCAGGGCAGGGTGTTCAGGACCTTGCCCAGTTGAGTTTGGAGCATCTTCAACGATGTCAGCTCCAAAACCTCTGTGGGCAGCCACAGGACAGATGCTCCTTATCCATCCTCACGGCCCTTTCCTGTACTCACTCCAGCATTCCATGTCCTCCCTGCTGTGGGGAGCCCAGAACTGGACACAGAACTTCCACTGGAGCCTCACCAGAGCTGAGGAAAGGGGAATAATCACCTCCTTTGMCTTTCCAGCAATGCTCTTCCTAATGCAGCCCAGGATGCTGCCGAGCCTCTCTGCCAATATATKTGTTTACAGATATCACAGAATTTTAAGGACATGATGAGTGATGYATTTCCAAGGTCTGTTCTATATCAGGGAAATACAAATGATATTATTTTGCTAATACATGTTTTATGTCAGTATCAGGGATTGTATTTATGTTCTCATTACAGAATTTCCTAAATAACTGGCCCATTAAAACCAGTTGTTTGGGATGATTACACAGCGCTTTGTAAAAACATCTGTGCACAGATTTCTAAAGGTAACACTGAAAGCCTCTAAGTGCAGATCAGGTTATCTTCATAGGAATGAAGGCATCTTGGCAACTGCAACTCTAAAGGACAGGAATTCTCAGTTTCATTGTGTTGTTAGCTTTAAAATCTAATGATAGCAGAATAATTGCTATTATGTTTAACTCACAGATAACCTTTTGTAGCAGTAACATCCAGCTTCTAAACTTACAGAGTTTCCAAAAGCACTCCACACGGTTCCAGAAGCCAAAAATCCAGTCCTCCCTAATGTATTCCTGAGATCCTTCCATTTCCTTTGCAGCTGCCACAGTGTAACTGTGGACAATATCC